CCCTGCGGGGGCCGTGCGGGCCCGGAGCATCCCGCAATGCCAGCGAGGAGGCACCACTGGCTGTGGCCTAGGGACAAGGGTCCTTTCGGGCCTCCCTTGAAGCACCTGCGAGTGCAAATGTCCCCGTGTGGCCCAGGAGCCCTGGGTGGCTTTAGGTTGTTTGGTCCTCGTGTCCCCCATTCCCATGTCCCCCTTTCGCGCATCCCCCTCTCCCGGCTCTCTGGGGTGCTGGGAGCAAGAGGGTCTCCAGGTACCCCATGGACTGGGGCTGGTTCCTCCCTGGCAGCATTGATTAGCCTCAGCGCCCGCTAACGAGCTGCCGTGCTAATGAGGGCTGAGCGGAGGGAGCTGCAGCAGCTGCTGCGAGTGCGGGAGCTTCCACGAGGGGCAAGGAGGGCTGCGGGGACAGTCCCGGCGCCAGCGCCCGGAGCGGGAGCAGCCTGCGGCTTTCCGGGGATCTCAGGCAAGAAGGGGGGTTTGGTGCCAGCAGTGCGCGTTCCCGATGGAAATCCCCTTTTTTAATTTCCCCTTTTTGGCAAGTGCGGAACCCCGTGAGACACAGCTCCATGTTTCCCACAGCGGGAGTCCTGCCAGGAAAGGGCTTTTCCAGAAGGAGAGCGTGAGCCCCCACGGGCGCGTGTGACCTGCTCATGGGGAGGCTTTTCCCCCAAAACTGTCCACGGCTCCAGCTTGGGGGCTCTCCGCTCTGCTTTGAGCTCCTGGGACAGCCCAAGCTTTTTCTTTCCCCCCTTTCCCTGGCAGCTCCCCCATGTCGGCCCCACCAGCCGTCGTTCCCTGCAGTGCCCGCGTTCCGTTTTTCCCGGTGGGTTTTTCTGTTTCCTGATGTGAGTTTGCAAATCCCCCCTGCTTTGGGAAGACAGATCAGGTGCTACTGGACAGGCCTTTCCCGAGGCGCCCGGGCGGGACGGTGCCGGCTCCGCTTGTGCCCGTGGCCGGGATGCAGGAGCGCGTGGGGATTTCCAGGTTTCTTCCCGCAGAGCCTCGCTGCTCCTTAGGGAATGAATCCGCGTGGTGCCCGCAGCTCAGCGGCCGACGGCTCCACATAAAAGCCCATTAGGAGAGTTTTCCCATCCCGGTCGCTTTGTAGCTCATCTCCGGCACCTAGGGCTGGTCCGCGCGACTCCGGCTCCAAATTAATATGTATGGTTGAGGGCACATCTTGTGAGATAAGTGTGTCGTCTGGAGAGCATTTGAGATGTGAGAACGGCTGAGTGCTTCTCCGGGCGAACGCGACCCGGCGGAGATGGGATGCGCCGGGAACCGATTGGATTCTGCCTTATTATCGATCGCTGCAGATGGCCCCGGGGTTGGCGGGCTCCGCGGGGAGCTGGCGGCGCGGCCGGCGCTCCGGGCGCCGCAGGCTCCGCGGCCTTCGCTTTGCATTTAAACAAATTCGGTTTCCTTCCCTGTTCTGAAGCCTCCGCGGGGCCCGGGGGGGCGGATTGCTGCTCCTTCCCGAGATCTGCAAACTGGCTGAAATAATAGCTCCGGGTGTAGCCATTTATCTGTGTGTCTATCTGCTCATGCATCCCATCTCATCTTCCTCTGTCACCCGCTCCTGTAATATCTCAGCATCTCCCTAAAGCAAAAGATGACAATAAAGTGTAAATGGGGAGTGTTGGCTCTGGAGCATAATGATGGCAATTTAGATGCCAGCCATAATTTTTCCCCCGTTGCCCCAGGTAACGGGAGCAGTTGGCTCCTGCGGGAGAGCCCCGATGAGGTTACCGCCGCGCTCCTGCCTCCGATCACTGCCGTTCGGGAGGAAGAGGAGGGAGCCTCCGAGGCCGAAGGGCCCGGCAGCCTCCCGCGTTTGCAGCCGTGGAGGCTGCTGTGGGCTCCCCTCTGCTTCCCTTTGCTTGTCCTAGTCCCATCCAGATGCGCCTCCGGATCCGGGTCAGAACCGCGCGGGAGCCTGGGGTCCAGTGGGCCGGGATGTGTTTGGAGGCGCCGGTTCCCGTGAGCGCCGCTCCGGGCGGGATGGGGGCGGCTCCGGCTCCCCTCTGTCCCTGGTTCCGTGCCCGATTCCCGATTCCCGCCGGTGCCGCAGGGCGGGAAGCGGCTCCGCACGCTGATTTGCATACGTTAACCTATAAAGACTACTATACACAGTTTAAATGCTTTTGTCTGAGTTAGAATTCCTTCCCTTTAGCATTTAACTGATGGAGAAAAAAGGAAAAAAAAAGAAAAAAAAGAAAAAAAAAAAAGAAAGGGTTGAGGTTTGCAGCCAGGTTCCATGGGAATTCCCCGGAGGGCGGGATGCTCCCGGCCGCAGCACAGGGTTCCCGGTGCTCCTGCTGCTCAGGACCATCCTGCTCCCGCCCCTGCTCCCTCTTTATTTTTTTAATTGGCCGCTTCGCCTTTCCCACCGCCCGCTCAGGAAACCTCATTACCGCACATCAAAAGGGGCCTTTAATGATTTATAAAGGTGCAGCAGTTTGGAGAAATTAAATAATTTAGGTGGCGCGGGTCCGGCGGCTCCCCCGGGCGCAGCGCGGCGGCCCCGGCCTCGGACCTGGGAGCGCTGGAGGGAGACGGGAGCGGGAAGCTGGGGCAGGGAAGCCTCTGCTTCCATTCGGGAGCATCCCTGGTGCAAACAGGGTAAAGCAGGTGCCGGGTCCCGATCTCACCCCTCGCTCACGCGCTCCAGGGCGCTGCAGCTCGCTGCCTTGCAGCCGGGTGCAGCCTTGGCTGGATTTAGATAGGGAAAAGGGGGAAAAGAAATTCCCTTTTTGTTTTTGCTGCCGGGATTGGAGCTCTGGCTGCCGGGGCAGTGGGAGCAGGGAGGCTGCCGGTGCCATAACCTGCTCTCGAGCTGCTTTCCATTCCCTGCAGAACTGGAGCAAACCTCGTCCTGAGTGTCATCCTGCCACGCTCAGAGGCGAGAGCTGGTGCCTTGCTGGGCAGGAGGCTATTGAAAAATCCCGGGATTTCGAGCAAGGCAGCGGCTGAGCAGCTCCTTTCATCCAGTTGGTGACTCCGAGCTGGCCGAGGTCACATTTTCAACCGTCTCACTGCAGCTGCAAAGGCTAAAACCCCATTTTGCAGTAGAGCCCCTCGGACCCCGGGCAGCGGCTAGGGCCGAGCCCTGCGGAATCCACCACGTGCTGCCGGTGTCGGGAATGGGAATTGCGACCTTCTCTTTGGCCCGATGGGTTGTAGCACGCGGGGCTCGCAGAGAAGAGCCGCGATGGCACCGGCACAGGCAGGC